CCAATATATACCGGTAATACTGCAGCCATTCCAGATTGGGCAGTGGATTGATCCTAATCTAATAATTGCAAAGGAAATAGAATTAAGGGATGCTGGAGAAATGTGGATGGCATGGCCAGTATGAAATGAGAATTACAGTAATTAATTTTGCTCTGGCCTTCCTCAAACTTTAATATTAATAGGAAAAGGAAGAAATCTATAAAGGAGTCCTTTGGATCTAGAAAATTAGACCATATTTAGAGCCTCTACTCTCAGACTCTGTAAATAAGTAAATCAAGACAATGTATAGTTTTTTGGCAGATACAAATACGTCACATTTTGGGGCCCCAAAGCAATTCAGTCAGAGCCAGTTTGCTATGGTGATTAAGGCAACAGACTAGAAATCAGGAGACCTTGAGTTCTAGTCCTATTTTAGGCATAAAATCAGCTGGAAGATCTTGAGCCGGTCAATCTTAGTGCTGGAATGAAAGCAATGGCAAGCCACTTCTGAAATCTTGTCAAAAAACTGCAGGGATTAGTCCAGGCAGTTGTCAGGAGCCAACAGATTCAAAGGCACATAAAACATCCATAATTTAGCAATTATGCATGGCGCAGGCTATTTCCCAGAGCTCAACTGCATTTGTTGAGGAAGTTGCATATTGCATATTCAAAGTTCTCTTGATGTACTGAACTGTAAAAAGACAAGACTGTCTTTTCTATCAAGAGGAGATATTGTGATATTGTCCCCTAGTGGAGAGATTTGGAGCTTTTCCTTCAGGTGGTATATGGACTTCACTGTAATGCTTCTTTTATGCATTTATACACATTTGAAGATTAGGTAGAATGTCCCAAAGGTGCTTTTTCAGGAGGTAACTGGACTTTGTTTTTTTTCTTTGAAGAGGTTTCGCTTCTCATTCAAGAAGCTTCTTCAGAGTCAGAGCTGAAGAAGCTTCTTGGATGAGAAGCGAAATCTCTTCAAAGAAAAAACAGGAAAGTCCAGTTGCCTCTTGAAAAAGCACCTTTGGGACAAGCATGACCTGGGTGACTGAGAATCTCCATAGACATTATGGTGGTGTGATTTCCAGCCAATGTATACTTTGAAGAGATTTCACAATTGGATTTTATTCTTTGAACTGAGTAACCAAGGCAATGAGCTATACACTTTCAAAGGGTAGCATCCATCAAGTTAGGCGGTTTTTTTTTTACATGTCTAGTCCAAAGGGTTTGCCCACAATGTTGTATGGAAATGGGGAAAGCAACAATTATTTATAAAAGTATTTATAGTATAGTATTTCTTAAATCTTTTATTGAGCTCTGCAGAAATGTTTGCTCCAGAAGGGAAGTAGTATGATGAAAATGTAGTGCATATTTAAACTTTGGTTTAAACCAAGTTTACTCTAGAGCTATGGTCACCTTGTGGAAACAATTCCTAGTAACTAAGTCATTTGTAATTTCTAAACAACAGTATCTATTGTGGTATCAATATACCGTATATTTTGTACAGTATAATGAAGATATTGTTTAATTTTGTTCCATTTAGTCTTTACTTTCAAGTAATTGTTGTACCAATAAGAGGGGTATTTTCCTAGCTTTCTTTTTTTTCTTAAAACAGCAAATCTTAAACAGATTTGAAAATACTGAGAATTTGGTACAGCTTTAGAATCTATATCCAAAGCTATTTTAGAAAATAAATTCATCTAAATTAAGATCTGTTAATGCATGTGTTCTCTGTATTGCTTTTGTATTCATAGAACCAATCTTTTCCATATTCTTATATTCTTTGCTACCAACATCTGTTCAATCATCAATGCAATTGACCATTAAGGGCAGAAAACGATAAAGCCTTTTCCTATTTTAGCCCAAATCCACAGATCGAGTTATTAAGTGCATTTTATTCCTTTGTCTGTACTGTACAGGGGTTCCCAACCCCCGGTCCGTAGACCGGCATCGGTCCGTAGCATGCCAGCAAGCTGGCCGCACAAACAAGCAAAGCTGCATCCTCAGGATGCAGGCAGTATTCAAAACCACACCCCCTCTGGTCTGCGGAAAAATATTTCTCCATGGCACGGGTCCCTGGTGCCCAAAAGGTTGGGGACCTCTGCTGTACATGGTATAAGGCCCCCTGGTGGCCAGTAGGCATATGAGAAAGTGGTACCTAAATATAGTTAGGTCTTCCTATTCAGAATTGTCCTCTCTTACCCTCCCTTGATGTGGGGTAAGATTGATGTGTTTTGAGGGACAGGATAGGAGATGACATCCATTTGATAAGTTCATTTGGGCCAGAGATCCTATATGCTGCATTTTACTATCTAAAAATCCTGGGAAGAAAAAATCCTCTTCTGGATGCATTTAACCAGGTCCAATGGATACACTTGTTGGTTTTTCCTTTACCAGGCCACACTACATTGGCACGGAGGCCGGTGTGCTACCAGTTGGCTTTTTTGTGCTGGCTGTGATAGTCTTGATGTGGTTAAAAGCTTTCATTTTGGGATGATAATTCATCTTTTTGCAGGAACCACCAGAAGAAAAATGGTGGTATTTTTTCAAGGTAAGTGCAGGGTAATGAAAGGAGATGAGTCTCAACTAGGTTCAAAGCAGAAACAAGTGAGAAGAGTCTTTGAGACCAGCTAACGATGAGTGAAAGATTCTGTCTTCAAATACAGACCTCCAAACACCACCAAGAAAAAAAAAATGTTTTAAACATAGGATGTGGAATTATTAATCTTATTTTAACATCAAAGGCATCAGCCTATAGTAAGTAGTAAAAGAAGCCCTCCCTATGTCACAATGCAGCATTAACTTTAATTTTCTCTTTACCAGGGACACTATCAACAACAGGTCATTCAACTAACTATGTGATTGCTGTGGAAATACCTACCAGTAAATCTCAGAGGCACTGGATTAAACGGGGAGTTGCCTTGATCTGTGCCTTGGATTTCTAGGCACTAACAATAAAAGAGCAGTCCAATAAAGCAGAATAAATTGGAAGTTTTTTATCTTGAAGCCTGATCTGAAGAAAGCACAGAACTGGCTAAAATGAGACAAATAACTACAAGGACTTAAATAAATATACATAGCGTGTATGTTTTCATTTAATTTAAATTTACATTAAAATCATTTTTTTAATTTCACAAATGACTGCACGGTGCTGTTTTTTTTAAATATAACCCATTCAGTTCTTTTTTTAATGTAGCCTATAAATTGCAATCAACTACAAGGAAAAGAATAAGTACACATTATACACGATTAAGGTGTATAATAATAAAATTTATGTTTGTGTTATATTTAAGCCACCATAGATCTCAGAGATGATCTTACAGCACTAATTTAGTATGTTCCTGGCAAAATTATTCTCAGTCTCCATTGCAGATCCCAAATATTACAACATTAGGTACTGCAGTTAAGAACACAAGGTTGACATATAGCATAGTGTAATGTTTTCTCAGGTGTATAGAATAGCCATGCCGAGTTATTTCTTATTCAGAAATGTTACCCTAATTCCAATTCACTACAGAGCTATTGGTACATTTTTTCTGGTGTACGGATCCCATTATCGCCATTTCCAGAAGGCTAGAGATACATTTTATTTTGAACAGAACTGATATTTACAGTACTTGACAATTCAAAAGACAGTTGATTCTGTCAACAAATAAAAAATAGTAATTCTACAGTCAGGCACTGTACATATTTGCAAAGAAAGCAAATATATTTCACCACCTTCTCAGGAACGATTCCCTTTTCCCTGTGATCTTTTGAATCTCATGATGATTTTAATATCTATACTAAGAGACTCAACTGTACATATTCATGGAATAAAAGTTGCAGAGGAAGCATTATACTGTTCTTCCAAAAACAATTTGCAAGATTCCTCTGGCCATCAGCTAGCATAATTTAATGCAAATTTGCTATCATTCTGCCAAAAGCTTAAAAACATTTATAAATCTGCTGTATTGACAAAGGACTGTTCTTACAGGACAAAGATAAAGCCATGTAACTAAGGAGAAGCTGGCAACACTTGTCTTAGGACTGGGTAGATAGATAACTGATTACACTGCAATTAGAGACTGTAAATGGACTGGAATGAGAGATGCAGATTGACAGGATTATCATGATGTAGATATAAAGATGCTGAGGCAGCTCTGGAAGACAAAAGCAGATGACAACCAGATCCTGCTGGCCAAATATCATCTATACTCTTGCAGAGTAATAAGCCAGATGCTCTAACCATAATCAATAGGAAAGGAATACCATTTATTCAGTAATGCAAAATTATTACTGTGTGCCCTATCTTGTCAGAGGACTTACAATCTGCAGAGGTTCACCATCCCTGCAAGCTTTGAAGTGAGCTGGAAGGGCTCCAAGCAAACGTGACTACATTCCTACAATACAGAGACACATCCTTTGTTGTCTTGCCATCCCAACATAGGGCCTCCAGTCATTTCTGCTCTACATTTCCCCTGTCCTTACACTATAGACGACTACAAAGCTCACCGTTCCACTGCTTGACTGTAAGATTACATTATGTACAGGAATTATTTTTCTATATAGAATCTTTCCATTTTCCCCTGAAATGTAAGCATGAACAAAGCCAAACAATGATTCATATTCCACTGAAGCACTTTATCCCGATCCCTCTCAAAATGTTGGTCCTAACAGTTCACTACAAAAAAAGGATGGGTGGTGGTGGTGTGTATCGTTCAGTATTTTCATTTAGCAATTTGTATCACCCAGCCACTTTGTCTCTCCACACGTAGTTTAATTTCCTAAAAATGGTTTTACTCAGCAGAATTTGAGTAAAAGGAAGCAACTGCCAAAGAAAATCTAAAAATAAGTTAATTTCACAGTTTGAATTATGGTGTGTGCATAGCTTCCATACATACAAAAGAAAAGAAAATAGCTTCCAGACTACATGCTGTTACACATGAACAAAAATACATTCACACGAAAAGATCTTACTCTGGACACACAAAACCCATAAAGAAAATGTCCCTCTCTGCTTCAGCACCAGTTGGGGGGGGGGGAAATATCAAGAGAAAAATTTGCAGGACTTGAAGACCACTTGCAAGGGAGCCTGAAGTATAGTTCAACAGCTACCTGATAATTATAGTGATGAACTTGATACACTTAAAGACGTAAGGCAGATATCTGCTCCCCTGGAAAATAAAGCAAAAATCAGGATATAGCTAATTCTGACTCTCTCTGAACTAAACAATGCATCAACTTAACTGAAATGCACTTCTGCAAAACTGCAAAGATTTTACTTATTTCTTTTTAAGCAATGTTCATGTAACATCTCTGAAGACCACCATTTACTACTGCAAGATGCACGGCATATTGGTCTAGGCTGCTAAGTAACATATTCAAGTGCAGTGTCAGTCACTCAAGTGGTCCTGTTCTTTATGCTTCTCACATCCCCTCTGGAGGGAAAATTTATCTTTGAATGCCCAAATGGTAAACCACTGGAGCAATGTCTAAAATCCAGTTGAATACAGGTAGACTTAGTCACACTAATACTGATCATGTGCAGACAATTTCAGTGCAAAGCTCTGTCCTGAGCACTCTCTGGTTGGTGAAGAAGTACATGAAATATGCACCACGTTATCGAAGAGGCAATCGGAAGATACTGAGTCCTGTCCAAAAGACTATTGACGTTTAGCTTTATAAGGCCTGGAACGTTTCCGTCGGTCCGGCTTTCGCTGCTTGTGGAGACGCCCAATGCTGACCCCTTGCCGTCTACGAACAGAGATGTTTTGTTCAACAAGGCTAGGCAACATTCCTGCAAGAAGACAAGTGTGTAAGGTAAGTCAAATAGAAGCAAATCTTGCTTCCCTTTCAACATTTCAAAATATAGAAGTCCTCCAGAGGATTGCATTCCTGTTATGGAAACAGAAAAAAAGGGATCATACAGCTCCTTAACCAGATTTATTGTGGCATTAAACTTTTATGGAATAAACCTTTCTCAGCTCAAATTCTCTAATGGTTATATTTTAATAAATATTAATTTTGAAGTGCCAAAAGATTCCTTTCTTTCTTACGGACTTTTCCTACTAGTTAGCAACAAATATCTGGGAAATGTTTTTACCAGTGCAGAAGGCTTGCAAGTTTAAGATTCATCACATTTATAGACATAAAAGATTCCAGATCAATAGGAAATCACAATATAATATAGCCAGAATCCTAAACATACATATTTGGATTTAAATTTTAATGGAAGCAGGTGGAAAAAATTGTATTTACCAATCAAAATATATATTACAAGACTAATCAAAATCTCACTTTTAAGCTATTTTTTAAAAATATTAACTTGTAAGATAGTTTTATTTGGATTATTCGTAGAAAATGTGCTCTACTGATAATCCTCATTTAAGAGTAGTTAATGGAATTTTTTATGGGGAAAATATTATTTTATCATTATCGCTAAAGCTGAACTGACTGATCTCTGAATGCCTCTTAAAGTGTATTTAACTTAAGCACTTGTCTGATTCTCTAGTATTGATGCAATGTTGCCACCTCCAAAATTTTCTATTCACTCATTTTTATAAATGACTATAAAAACTAAAGCAGGAGATAACGATTTAGAATCCAAACCATAAACTCCTTTAACCCGGGCCTATCTAATTACAGCTGTGCTTTAGCTTGATAGTTTCAAACTTTCAACACTATATGTTACAGCTATCACTATTTTATTATTTGGAATTTAGCAAGATGTCAAGATTTATGAACCCTGATACACGAGAAAGACAGATTATAAATACTCTTCATGTAGCTATTTGTACTAGAAAAATAAATCTACCTCTATTTGGAGCCAAAGGTTTCTGGTTTGTGCTGTTTATCAACATCTGAATTTATCCTTTTCTAACACAGTGCAAAGAAAAAAGCTCTTTCAATCAAACTTGCAGGCATTTTTCTTTTTTTCTGTATCATATTACATATACCGTTCATTCTATATTGTTCATCAATATTTGTACAATATATTTTTCTTTTCACTATCAAATTATTTTATGTCAATTAACATTAAAGTAAAATGTGTGTGTTTTTATCGAAAATAAAATTCCTCTCACCTTCTTGTGCCAACATGGAGATAAAAGTACATATAAATTCATCATAATTGTGAGTTCTTCTCTGATCGTCAATCTAAAAAAGTTAGAAAGGGGGAAACAAAGTATCTATTCCACAGCAGTATTGAAACAAATAAGAGAGAAAAAAATTCCATCACTTACCTTTTGGCTAGAGAACAAGATTCAAGACCATTAAAAAATTCTATAGCATTCCAAAACTAAGTCTCATAATAAACTATACCAAAAAGACCATGTTTTCATGTTCTCAAAACGTTGACCAATATGTAATAATTGAAAGACAATGGGATTTCCAGCCTCAAGTAAGAAGCTTAAATGTTGTAATCCATATTTAGGAAGGCTAATAAGAAAACACAGTAATTCAGACTTTGCTGGACTAAGACCACTAATTTGTTTTCATATTAGAATATTAGGTCAATCTACCAAGACATATCTTCAACTGAATCAACGATTTGACTGATGCTGAAAAAGCCTGAGCAGGCTCAGATCTGCCTGGAACCTGAATAGGAGACTACCAGAACTGGGCTGGGAGTCAAAAACACATCCTGGAAAAGCTAACTGCTTCTATGAAAACTATATGAATTTGTCTATGTAGCCATCAAGAACTGAATCGGAGAGAATAATTATCTTCTTTTCAAATATTAACAGCTTTTATCATTTGGTATTTGTATTTGTAAGCCACCAAGTCTATAAAAGGGATGACTGTAAAAATAATAACAAAAATAACAACACAATATTCTCTATTAGCTACCTTGAATTTCTTTCTTTTCTCTACTTCCTCCTTTAAACAGGCCTCATAATTTGCAATTTCAGCCTCCACACACTTAAGCAATGCCAGGAGCTCCTGTCAAAACAAAACAGTAGCAGTATAAGCAGAATGCCTCACTAATGCTAGTGGCACAGCAGTACCTCATAATTAGCTTAAAGCACTAGCAACATCTCAGTATAACTTTATTTTAAGAGTAGAACAATCTCTAATCTTTTTTTTTTTTTTTAAAGCTTCTACAATCCCAAAGTACCAACAGGAACAACAACTAACTCAATAAATAAAGCAACACAAGTTGGGAAACTAAACAAAGGAGGAAAAATTAAACTACCTTGACGTAAGCATAAATTAAATAGTGCCTAAAAATTCTTGCAGCAAAAATAAACACTTATCTTGATGCCATTTCAAATTTTCTATTTGGCACTTATTCTCAGGATGCATATTACTAAAGTATCTTCTTTGAAAGAACATTATTTTTGACAAAAGAGTGTCTGGTGTAAGTTCTATGTATATAAATATTTATCTATTTATCAAATGTATATATCTGCCCATCTCACAAGATGTTACTTTGGATGACATAGCAAAATAGCAATAAACATGTCAAACACAGTCAAATCACACACACACACACACACACACACACACCAATGGAGCCACCTCAAGATTTCTCCGGTCCCCCGAGATTCCCCCCCACCACCACCACACAGGCCTAATGACAAAGCCAGCTCTTGAGGGATGTCCAGAAAATAAGGAAGGCTGGAAATGACCTCACTTCAAGGGGGGGGGGGGGGAAGACTGTTCCATATAGTGGGCATCAGGACAAAGAAGGGCCATCTCCTCTGGCCCAGTATAGTTTCTGGAGAGATGGGACTTGCAGCATACCTCTCTTGATGGATCTGATGGGACAAGCAGCTGTAATCCAGGAGGGGTGATCCCTCAGATAACTTGGTGCCATGCCACGAAGGGCTTCAAAGGTCAAAATCAGCACCTTGGATTGGACATAGAAGCAAACTGGCAACCAAGGTAGCTCACATTATTTCATTCACTGCTTTAAGGAAGAGGATATGCTGTGCTGGCCCCATCTCTCAATTTTATCCTTGTAATTTTCCTATAAGGTAAGCTAGGGTAAAGGACTGTGGCTGTCCTAGTCACTCAGCAATCTTAGTCCACACCCTACCTCAACAGGAATATTAAACCAGGAGTAAGGAGTCTGTAGTTTTCAACAAGTTACTGTATAGCATCACACATTATCCCTGGGCACTAGCAATCCAAAGTAGGAATGGTAGTGGTATTCGGCAACACTAGGCAGCTTCCTATCCCATTACTAAAAATCCAAAGTGAAGTAGAGTTATGTTATAAATATAATTCTACTGCTTTGTTTTAGTTTTGGTAGAATAAGGTAAAGATAAAAAGAGCAACTTTGTTGCTGTTCATTCTTCTGCTTCAAGTATATTGGTATCAGAATAAATTCCTCAGAGGGCAACTATAAATATCAGATGAAAGGCCAGATCAAGACAAAAAGTCTTGGAGAAAAATAAAAAAAGTTATGTCAAGAACAGCCTTCTCTCCATTCTTAATTTTGGTTTAAAGAGCTATCCCTACAATTCACGTCCCTCACTACTGAGCTTTGTCATTCTTAAAAATAACAATCTTTTATTATTTTATTGTTTTGTAAAAGATGCGTAGTCAACTACGTTCAGAATTTGTTCTGCATGGAGTAGCAACAGAACATGGGATTAGCAGGGGGCTACGCAAGGCTCATCTCTATAGCATTGCAAAAGCATAAAGACATATGGACTTCCCTTCTTCTGCATGGCTCAAGCACTGAACTCAAGAGAGGCTGCTGTTAGCTATAATTACGTTTTACAATGGCGTGATCAGACTGATAAGGGATGACTTTGTCCCTCTGCCAAAACAGTCCCCTTTCCATGCGTTTTCTCTGAGTTTCAGATAGACTCAGGAAAAAGAAGATTCCTGCCAAGTTTAATATCACATACTTATGAGCAACATCCAGCCAATGCAACCAGGTCTAGGCAAATAACTCCCAAAAGTACTTTCTGCCATCACAGAATTGTTTTACGTCAAAAGTAACTTACTTTAGGAACGTACTTTTCCCCAGCAGGGGGATCGGTAGACCGACCAATTCCAGCCTTCTCCTTGCTGTCACGTGGCTCATTAGCGTCCACGTCTTCTGCTTTTACACTAATTTGAACCTCTTCGTTTGATTTGCTGGATGGAAGGGAGTTTTTCCCACCCTCTGGGAAAATTAAAAAAGAGGAATTATTAAACACAATGTTATCTACTTTTACATCTTGAGTACTGTGGAGGAATAAATAATGGTATTTCTTAGCCAAACAATGCATGTTTCTAGCCCAGAAACGTGTAACAAACACATTTCATTTATAAATCAATGTTAGAAAAGTAGGTAACTCAGCAGAAAAAGAGCTCCCGTTCAGAGCACGCACTGAATTTTTCTGTCGGGATTCTTCGTAATTATGTGTCTTCTACATTATTTACAAAAACTCAGAGGCAAAGGGTATTTTCTCCAATTAGTTTATCCCTTGGATTCCCACGCATAATCAATTTTGAAAAGCAAAAGGAGTCATACTTGGAAGCAAAATGAAAAATGGTCCTAATTAGTTATCTTATCAACAGGCAATGCATGATTTAGACCAGAAATACGGCAATTATTTGAACCTTGGGCATGTTTGGAACATTGAGAACAGACAATAAATAGGTTCACAAAATATCTGTCCAAGAAACTTGCCTATACATAAGCAATGGTTGAAATATAGTTGGGCAATCAATCGCCAGAAATTGAGCAAGTCCCCAGAACACCATCATCCTAGTTCTTTACTATGCCCAAAAGACAATGCAACAAATCAACATGATGCTCATCTTATCTACTGTTCTTTTTTTGTCACAAGCCCTCTTGAGTACAAACAGCACAGGCCTTCGGTTGCCTTAGGTCAGTGGTGGTGAACCTATGGCACGGGTGCCAGAGGCGGCACTCAGAGCCCTCTCTGTGGGCACGCGCGCCGTCGCCCCAGTCCTAGGCCTTCAGCTGGGTTTTATAAAACCTTTTCGCTTTAGGCCTCGGCCGCCGTGTACAAAAAAAAAGGTTCAATCAATCAATCAGTCAATTTCAACTTCTCAAGGGGAAAAAAAAGATCTTGCAAAGTTGGAATTGATTGATTGAACTTTTTAGTCCCACCCAGTCTGCTGTTACCACCGCAGCCATGCCCACCCAATGGGCCACACCCACCCAATGGGCCACGCCCACCTGGCACCTGACGATACATAAGTGGGTTTTGGGTTGTAGTTTGGGCACTCGGTCTCTAAAAGGTTCGCCATCACTGCCTTAGGTACTAACATGTTTAAGGTTGTAAATTGGGAGGTACCCCAAAAAAATAACTGGAATCCAAATTTAAAAGCCCTTCAGCATTCAGTTTGTTACTATTCCTCTTGCTCATCACCAGAATCCTCCAAACAGACCCCCGCAACTGCCCAACAAGCAAAGAAGAGGAACCACATAAGAGTAAGAAAATAGTTAACTATTTTTTTTTTCTGTTGAACCATACCTGTGACAGTAAGAGGGCAGAAAACTCCCTCCTCTGTGAGGTGCAGCAAACCAGTACTGATGATGGGTCCCAAATCTCTCACAGCCCTGTTGTAGCGTATACAGTCTACACGGAGCAGGCTGTCTTCCTCCCCAAATAGCACCTTGGAGATGTGAGAAGTGACAGGACTAGAAGGGCGAGTGGGATTAGCTGATCGGATGGGGGAGCGAAGAGGGGAATTGAAGGCGCTCCCGATCTCTGAGGCAGTGTCCGTGCTTTCATTGCTGGGTGTGGGAGATGGCTGAGAGTGGGCAACAACAGCTACCGCCGTGCCTCCACTGCTAGTCTTAATAGACAAAGGAATGGAGAGGTCCTTCTGAGTTTCTTTCAGCTTTTCTGCCAGGACATTGATGGTGTTGGGCTGCAGCATAGACAGCTGGCTGTCTCCGCTCCCCATCAGGTGCTCCTGTTTCACCAGGCCCTTCCTCTTGTAACTGTCCACAACCACAGAAAGGAGAAAAATATTAAGCCGAGGTGGTTATACTCAGCAGTAGCAATCAGAATGAGTGGGAAAGCTTACATTATATCCGTTATGTTTTTATATGTCAACCTCAGTTTTAAAAAAGGTAAAGTAAATATTATATAGCATTAAGAAAATGCTATCATAACATTGCAATATTTATACATATGTTTATGTTAAATAAAAGCAGTTATATCTCTGTGATTTCATTTATATGTTTTTGTAATTACCAGTGCTGCTAAAATACTTTTGTCTCTGCTTTTTTTTTTTTGTTTCTAATGTCTGAAGATCAAACATTCCACTATGAAAACAGTCCACAAATGTCATTCACTATCCCCAAGTTGAATGCCTACTGCCATTTCTCTTTCCAGCCAGGTATCAAATTCTCGTGGAATTATTTTTTAAAAAATCATGTAATTATACTTCCAACATTTTTCAGATTAGACGACGGACAGTTCCTTGCTTCCGATACATATATAGCTCTCCAAACTGAGGATTTACAAATAGGATTGACCCACCCACATAAACCCTGCTCCGTACTAACACTCCAGGTAGAACCTCTCTTCCCACCAAGAAGTTGGGCCTCATCTCAAAGCTAAGATTTTAAAATAGCTTTCTTTCTCATGCAGCCCTATATAGTACCAGTATAAATACTAGAATATTTTTCAAAGGCTGGAAGTAAGGCACTCTCAAATTTGACAAAGGTGCAATGGCAGATGGACTAACTACTGGAGACCATCAGGCCATTACCTGATGGCAGGATTAGTATTACACACTTCCTCCTCCTCATCATCATCATAGTCATCCTCATCGTCAGAGTATTGCTGATGCTGTGGGACTGGGACTCGGCTTCGGCCCACTCCGGCTGCAAGGTCCTCTTCCTCCTGAAACACAATCATCCAGATGCCTTCAGATAAGATTAGTATCTGAGAAGATCTCTTGTCCTCCAAAGTCCATCTTTAAAAACAAACAAAAGTACATGAAGAAATAACTATTTCTCCTGCTCAAATAATACTTGGGACTCACCAAAACAGAAGTCTGGATTAGAGAAAAAACAACGGTGCACACTATGAAAATGCCTTCCAGATATGTATGCAGAGATATCCCAAATAGTTTAATCTCTTTTATTTCCCAAGTGGAAAGGGTGTAAAGCAGGGGTAGTCAACCTTGGCTCTTTTATGACTCGTGGACTTCAACTCCTATGCTGGCTCAGGAATTCTGGGAGTTGAAGTCCATGAGCCATAAAAGAGCCAAGGTTGACTACCCCTGGTGTAAAGCAATGCAGCTTTTTGTACATATCTATGGGGATTCTCAATCATCCAGCTTTTGGGATGAGAAGCGAAATATTTTCAAAGAAAAAAAAGATAAGAAAGTCCAGTTGGCTTTTGAAAAGTACCTGTGGGCTTTTTGTAAAATATCCAGAAAGGTTCTTGTTTAATGGACTTTCCAGGGGTCATTTTTGCCATTTTTATTCAACTTGAGAAGGATTATACATTGAATAGCACAGGGATCCCCAACCCCCGGTCCGTGGACCAGCACCGGGCCGCAGCATGCCAGCAACTGGTCAGCACAAACAAACAAAGCCCCATCTGCGGGATGCAGGCAGCACGCGAAACCAGGCCCCTTCCGATCCGCGGAAAAACCTCTCTCCACGGAACCGGTCCCTGGTACCCAAAAAGTTGGGGGCTGCTGGAATAGCATATGCAAAAAGCCGTTATTCCTTCAAGTCCTTTCTTCACTAGAATAGTGCTCATTCATCTTCATTCATGAAAGAAACAGAAATGCGGGATGGCCTTTGCAGGAAAACACAAGATGCACTGGTTTGCATGGCATACCAAGAATAGTGCTAGTGGGAAGATTCATTTTCTGTTTTATTAAAAAAAAAATTGTGTGAGATTTTGAAACAGCTAAATTCCAAAGCATCATCAATATCTAGTTCTTTTCATCAGCAGAACTGGGAACATGAGAGTCTTTCAAAGGTTATAGCTCTTTTAATAAAAAATACACTGGAAGACTTAAGTAACTCCTTTACTCCTTAAATCCCCACTATTTGTCAAAGACGCAAAACAGAGGTGAAAATTTCATCCCATCAACGCCAGGGGATCTGAGAGCCACAACGTTGATGCTTACTGGTTATACTTTTTACACCCTGCTTTACAATGATTTAGTGGACTCTATAAAATCTAGTAAATTATAAAATCTAGTAAATTCTGATAAAAACCTCCAGGAAGAAGACATTAAAAACTCAGAAATTTGTTAAACATTAACAAATGTTAAAATGATGGTAATTTACAAATGGAGACAAGTTTTAAAAATGTACAGGCATCGTTAATTAAAAATTCATCAAATATAACAATAAATGGTTAACTTTTAATGTTCTATGTTTTTAATGCTTCAATGTTTTAACATTTTTTATACTGCAGTTTTTATGATGTTGCAAACCACCCAGAGTCATTTGATAGTGAGGTGGGTGGCATGTACATTTAATGAACAGACAGACAAACTGGTAGGTAAGTAGATAGATATTAAACATATTACACAGTACACGTATTTGACATACACCATACTCCTGCGTTAAAGAAAAAATTATTTCCAGCTATTTAATTATAAAACATCTAAGATAAAAACTGGACAAAATAAGAATTCTTGACCAACAAATGCAATAATCTGCTCTGGAAAGAGCCAGATAAGCTTAATTTATACAGTTTGTGGCATATCAGGCAGAGAAGGTAACATTTGGTACAAAATCCCACCTGCATAGGTGACTTGGCATAGTTGTGGTTATCCAAGAAAGCTGGCAGTCTTTGCATGATGGGGTTGGGGGCTGACAGGGCCCCATTTAGGCTGCTCACATGTGGTTTACTGCTCAGCTTTGCCTTGCTTGGAGGGCTCTGGGTTGAGACCGGCAGGTCTTGGGCTCTAGAATCCTCAGTACCTTCTGCAAAATGCACACACATTAATTTTCAAGCTGCACATTTTCAGGCAGTATATCTGGGACACTTCCATCTGCACAGAGAACCCTAACCATTTTCTAAATCTCTATACCTTCACCAAAAGAATAAATGTCTCTCTTGGCTACAGTCGCCTAACAATTAGAATCCTGATTGCATTAAGTTCAGGGCCACAGTGACTCTCTTTGGGAAGTCAAGCTTAGAGTAGATTACATTGACAAAGTTGTTCCTTGATAGTCAACTTTGGGATACGAAAACCCTGTTCAAAGATCATCACTTGAATCTGGATTTCCCTTACTTCCAAACACACAAGCTAGAGATTGTGAGTTGCTCAAAGGTACTTTAAAATCAAACTCAGGATGCACATTGCTTAAATAAAGCCCTACATTCCAAGTTAACTATCTTTATTTTTTTTTAAAATTCAGTGTTCCGTACCTGCCTGGGAGCTCTCTGGAATTAACTGGGCTCTTCCTGCTTCCAGTGGGGTGGAGCTCTTGCTGTTAGCTGACCTGGGCTCCTCAGAAGCCTGGAGCTCTTGAGATTTCTGGGTGTGTACCAGTTCAGGTTGAGTCACTCGGATGAGCTTATGTAGGAAAAAATGGTAATAAAATTCACAAAAGAATAGAAAAATGAAAACAGTCATGCTTCCTACACATCACTATAGCTTCCAATGATACACTCATTATATATGGGAAAAGATCGCCCTTCCTGCTGAGATTATGATTAAATGTGCATGTTGCCAAATCCTCAGAGGCTAAGAGCAACTTACAGAAACCAGAAAAATAAAACATTCACTGTGAAATGCCATTTCTCCACTACCTCACAATACAAAATAATATGACTAGAACACTCCACCAATAAATAGCAATCATAAAAATTAACTGATGGCAAAAACCATCGCTGGGTCTGGACCAACAGCAGTTTTCTAGTGGTTGTCAAAGGAAGCCCCAGGCAGAGTGCAAGTTGTAGAGACACGAGTCACCGTAGCTGGTTCCTTCCACCCCAGAAAGGGCGACAATTGATGCACTAAAGATTTTGATTCAATATATTATTTCCAAGCAGTTCTGATTTCAAAGGCAAGTGTAAAATAACCCACCCACCCACTTATCATAAGCCTCTTCCATTTTCATGCCACTCCTAATATTTGGGCTTTCTTCTTGCTATCAATGGAGGAGGAGGAGGAGGAGGAGGAGGAGGAGGAGGAGGTGGTGGTGGTGGTGGTGGAGGAGGAGGAGGAGGAGGAGGAGGAGGAGCAGCAGCAGCAGCAGCTATACTATGTTGCTATGGTGAAAAAAGTATGGTGAAAAAAGATTTTTTTAAAAAGAATCAACTCGATTAACAGACATAGTTTTTGAGCTTCTTCCAAGTTTCCTTCTGGAAAAGCTATTCTGCACTCAGAACTCTGCTCTGCTTGATGATCCTCGATCTTGAACCAATTGTTGTGTCTCTTTCAGAAGCTGGATGTAATCAGAAAAGATGTGTGACTTTTAATCTTCTCTTCTCTTTATCTCCTTCTTACCTGCTGCAAAGCTTCCAGTACAGTTTGACGGTTCACCTTCAAGATATGTAGCTTAGATTCATACTTCATTCTCCTGTCGGGTACCACAGCCATCAAGTTAAAGCGGATGTCATGATATGGTTCCCTGTGAGCAATAACCATGGGTGTTAAGCATCCCAACCCTAAGTAATTGTAGCAAACTCTCTTCTTCTGTCACTCTCATGTCAACCTAAGTATCACTGTCTGTGACACATATAAATCCTGTAATATACTTGATTTTCAATTCTTGTGCAAGCACAGCAAAACTTCACAGAAGCCAAAAGAGGAATTCTGTCCAGTAAACGTCAAAACACTTAATCACTTCTCAAGTACCCCTCTCAAATTTTCACATAAACCAAAAATGCATTGTTCATTCACCCTGCTGTAGCAAGTCCAATCCTCTCCATGATAACTCTCCTGGCTTTGTCTGTCCATTCCTCATCTTCTGCCCAGGGCCCTGGAAAAAGGAAATAAAAGAAAAGGCAAATACAGAAACATACAGAGCAAATGTTTCTACTAATAGACCAATCTGTTAAACTGACTTGCAGAATATGTTCTCCCTTGTTATCTGGCTATTGATCTGAGATATGCACTCCCTTAAAGACAATTAATAAAAGGAAATCAAATCCTGAGCGTAATTATTTCAACCTAACTGACGGATTGAGTTACCAAAGGGAAAATATATACTCTGTTCTTACATGTTTTTAGTAATAATTCTATTGATGTTAATCTGCATATAAACCTTTTAGATACTGTTTTTCTTTTAAACAGTACAAGCCACCTTAGGCTTATCAGAGCAGAAAATTCAAATAAATACATTCAAATTACAAAACAAAATATTAATCTGCATTCCAGCCCCATGCATTCTAATACTGCACACAAGGCCAAAAGAATTATAGTCTTTCCACTTTAATGCATATAAAGCCTAACATATATTATAGAACATTACCTGAGAATAAGATAATTGCAATTCACTCTCCTCCATCATCTAAACCAGTGATGGCGAACCTATGGCACGGGTGCCAGAGGCGGCACTCAGAGGCCCTTCTGTGGGCACGCGCGCCGTTGCCCCAGTCCTAGGCCTTCAGCTGGGTTTTATAAAACCTTTTCACTTTAGGCCTCCGCCGCCATGTACAAAAAAAAAAGGTTCAGTCAATCAATTTCAACTTCTCACGGGGAAAAAAAAAGATCTTGCAAAGTTGGAATTGATTGATTGAACTTTTTAGTCCCACCCAGTCTGCTGTTACCACCGCAGCCACACCCACCCAATGGGCCATGCCCACCCAAGGGGCACACCCACCCGGCACCCAACGATGCATAAGTGGGTTTTGGGTTGCAGTTTGGGCACTCGATCTCTAAAAGGTTCGCCATCACTGATCTAAACTATTCCATATCTATTTTCCCAAATCATTATGTTCATCAATTGGGACATTGCTATATTTCAGTTGAGGACAAAATGTTTCAAAACAAACCACCCTGAATTCAAAATGTCTCATTCTGAATGCAAAATCGACAATTTTAGCAACTTCAAAAGCATTGCAAGCTCAAAGCTCTGATATTAAGCACAAAATACTTCTAAGGATCAAATTAGCCTATTTCGTACTCAAACCAACTACCTCACACTCAAAACAGAGTATTTGAAATTCAAATTGTTAAAATCTTCTCACAACCTTATCATATTCTTTGCTAACAAACTACTGATGACCCCAATTTGATTCCAGTACAAAATGAGAGACGCAACGCTCCTTGTAAGCTAAACTAAGGCAACACGATTCCTTACCATGGTCAATGGGGAAAACTTTTAGACCATCCAGTTCAAAGAGCCGTCCTTTAATGGGGACATAGCTGACAAAATGAAAAGCTTCCATGGTCCGCACAGCACTAATTCCATTCTGTTTTTCTGGTAAATGTCGGGGTTCTGGTCTGATTCAAAAAGACAAGAAATCTATGTAGATGTAATTTATATTGCAGAAAACACTTATTCTGCCCTCACCCAACTTACCTAGCGTGACTGTTATGAGCCTTGGCCAGTTCTGGGGCATTTCCAATGGCATAGCCTTTGCTCTGGAAGGTTGAAAAAAATAAGATGATAGGAAAGACTCTATAACAGTGTTTCTCAACCTTGACAATTTTAAGGCATGTGGACTTCAACTCCCAGAATTCCACAGCCAGCATTGCTGGCTGTGGAATTCTGGGAGTTGAAGTCCACATGCCTTAAAATTGTCAAGGTTGAGAAACACTGCTCTATAAGATCACCTATAGCCTTCTTTTTAGCAGACCTAAACAGATGTTCTATCCCAATTGTTTTAATCTATCTTATTGACAGGGAAAAAGAGCCCTCAAATTAATTTGAGTCATATAATTTGGGCATATTAAGCGTTGGCCATGAGGACTGTGGTCTCAGGATTAAATAAGGTTAATATTAAAACAATTTTGCATACACTTTTATATAGGGAATTGAACCAATTCTCTGCAATGTCATTTATTCCAATATTATGTGTACTTCTCCAAACAACTTAGCAGCCTTATTTCAGAATTCTAAACGTTAATGCATCAAACTCTTCTTTTTCAAGAGCAGTACTGACAAAGTGAGGTCTACAAAAAGGATTAGTTAAAGCCAGTTTTCCCTAATTTGGTACCCTTTCAATGTGCGAGAAGATACAAAATTATCACCCAATAAGCAACACACACAGACACACACATAACTTGTTCTCGCTTCATACCTCTGGACTAAAGCCTTTGGTGAATTCTTTCATTCGGCTCAGCGTTGGTCCCAGATCCACACTGTTACAATTCAGGAGTACACTTAACAATGCATGTGTGGCACAAGAATTGGGAATCAGCTACAAAGCAAAATAACATTTAGATGAAATATGAAATTATGGCAACCCAGCAGAATAGCCTATCCATACAAAAACCATATGTACATTCTTGCTCTCTTGTATATCACAACAAAGTTGCAGTGCTATGTAGACTAGCATCCTTGTGGTACACTCCAGGCAATGTGACCGTGTCACAGTTAAATATTCCAAACACATTCTGACTTTTGGATCTCACAAGGATACCACAGCAAGAAGCAGCAGCATGAGTACCAAAAATAAAACAATAATTAATGCTGTATTCTGTTACACCATGTAAAATAAATACTGCAACGCCTCCAATATGAGCTATTTATCAATTTATATAGTATCTATCAACAATTGCACCTTTACATTCAATCCCCCAGTTATAAAGTCTTCCCATTTCAGAGAGCAGGGCACTTACGAGCATAAAACAAGCAGTCTAGCAAAATTTCTTTCTTCCGATCAGTTTACCTGGTGAGCAAAAAACATGTTGTTGACAATGTCATCATCAATCACTGAGGTCTCATCTACCAAAGTAGAAACTTTCCGTCGGGACCGACGCTCTTCAATCCATTTGAAAAGGAAGATAAATCCATAGACAGGTCTGAAAAAAAATAAGCTTGCAATATGTAATCCATCACTTTTGAAGGATTACTCTCTATTCACAAACATATTCAATATTCCTCTAGTGAGACATTAGCCTGAGAGGTTTCTGGGGTAAGCGAACTAATGCATTTAGATAACTGAATTACAACCTCTCTGAGCACAAAGAGTGAGGCCGCGGATAGGAAGGTATTACAGAGGGTGGTGAGCACACCACAAAATATTGTGGGCTGTTCCCTGACACCACTGGATGACATCGCCAGGGCCCATTGCCTTGGAAGAGTGAGGAAAATTCTCAGGGACGACTCACACCCTGGTTGATATCTCTTTACTCTCCTACCATCGGGTAGGAGATATAGAAGTATAGCCAACCGTACCAACAGGCTGAAGAACAGCTTCTATCCATGGTCTGTCAGGCTCTTAAACGGGAAATAACTTTATGTATGATAGACTCGTAAGGCCAGTGCATTGTGCAATTAGCTCACATGGTGTAATAAGTTGGTGGGTTTGTTGTCACTGTGAGTTGTGGGGGGGAGGCACGGAGGGAGGCTCAGCCAATCTCATTGTATACATGTTGTACTTTGATAATAAAGGTTCATTCATTCATTCATTTTTTTTTATTCAACTTAGGCATCACCTAACTCCAGATGACTCTAGGTGACTAACAATAAAACAAGACAAAATAAGAAATGAAACAGAAAAAAAAATCTGAGAAAATGACTGTTGGTGAATTTGGCCAAAACTCAAACATATGGACATACCCAATAGGGCCCCCAATTACTTTAGCCCAAGACCTAGGAGAACAGCTGGGTCTTTTAAGGCTTTCCAGGAGGAGCCACATGGATCTCAGGGGCAACTACATTACAAAAGTCAGGTGCTGAGACAGAAAAGGCATGCTTCCTGGGTCTGATAAATGACATTGTTTAATCAAAGGGATTCCAAAACACACAAACCCTGATGTCAGCTGGACAGACATCACAGGAAATAGGCCCTACGCTATATAGGGCTTTATAGGTCATAACTAGCACCTTGGAAGAATTCTGGTGAAAATGAAATCAATGGTGAAAGAATATAAAAAGAATCTTAAAGGTATTGTTTTTTTGAGAATAACTTCAAAGAAGATGGGAAGTTGCTTTTTTGTTCCTTTTTATTATCTCTCACTTTTACTTTTATGCTTTCACAATTTCTTTATTTTTCTACTTCTTTTATGTTTTTTTAGTGTTTTAAAAAAATTGCAAAACCTTTTAATAAAAACTATTTAAAATGAATCACTACCAAATTATTTATAATTAAAGGATTGGAACATTTCTAGACCTATGTGACATCTTCAGTAACAACAGGATTGATTTAAGAAATTTAATCTTAAAAATGAAATCTGAATGCAAAATATGTGTGATTCCATTCCACCATTATAAGAAGTGTTTTAAAACAATTGTTTTATGTTATGTCATGTTTTATGATGTTCCATTTTTGCAATCAGTTCTGCAATGTTATTATACATCGTATTTCAGCCTACTTCCAGAAGATTTCTGACATTTATTTGACAGAAATGGAACAATTTCCAATACATTCCAACATCATCTTTATCATTATTCATACATTTTGGACTGTGTCATTACTTCAGAAAGATACTTTGCTTTTTTCTAATCAGTGTAACATCCAAATTCTTACCCTTGGCATTTGCTCTGTAGATCATAAATTTCTTCAACTTGCACCCCCTTAACACCTATATGAAGATAAACCTTGAGTCAGTATACAAGTTGAAAAAGGAAGAACTAATTAATACATTACCATATGATTATACTCACCAAAATCTTCCACTAAGAGTGTGAAGAGCCCTGCAAAAAAAAAAAAAGGGAGGGGGAGGAATCAGAGGATAGGAGAGAATTAGGTTATTACTTGAAAAATACTAGTCATATATTACAAAAATAGTTTTGGGCACATAATTCAGTCTAATCCAGGACTTTTCAACCAGTGGTACGGGTACCACCTGTGGTACATTGGCACCTGGCAGATGGTATGCGACCATCTTAGAAAAGTAGCGGGGGAGAGGAATAAGCTGAACAGGTGGCAGCATCGCACAAGCCTGAGCGAGAGATGGCTGGAGCTGCAGGGCTGTCAGGGCTCAGCGGAAGCACCAGGATCAGCACCAGGCTCCAGCTGTAGCTCGGCGCTGATCCTGGCGCTTCTCCTGAGCCCTGAAGAAGCATCAATCATCTGGAAAGCAGCACTGATCCTGGTGCTTCTGCTGAGCCCAGAAGAAGTGCCGATCAGCTGGAATGTTGCAGCATCTCCAGGGTCTTGTGATTTACATTCAGATGCTTGGCAACTGATTCATATTTATGATGGTCACAGTGTCCCAGGGTCATGTGAAGTGACCAAAACCTGCTGCAACCACCCAGCAGACGGGGGGAATAAAAACCAAACACCTCCCCACCCCATCCCCACTGCCAATCCTCAACAGAAATGCTCACAACAATAAAAACCTCGGACAGGAGGAAGAGCGTCGCCGGGTGGGTAGGCAGGTGTCTTGCTCGGCTGTGGCTTGGGAGGCACTTTTTTCAATGCCATTGTAACTTCAAACAGTCACTAAGCGAACTGTTGTAGGTCGAGGACTACCTGTACTTTATCACTTTTTTCCTTTTTGGGGGGGGGGGTCAAGTTTTTGACACCTTGCTAGGCGACTGGTGGTACTCGGATGTTGCCATATCCTAAAAGTGGTACAATGGGTGAAAAGGTTGAAAAGCCCTGGTCTAATCAATCTAATACAAACACCAAATCCAAAATCAAGATAAAATTCTACAAAACACCTTCATAAAAGCATTTAAATGTGCTCCGATTTACTTCCAACTGCATAACCCAAATAACTATCTGGCATAAAACAACTCAATAAATATTTTAATTACTGATAAAATGCTAGCTTCCCCCCCACCCTCATTTTATCATCTGGTCCTAAAAAGCAAGTAAGTGCAAGACCCCCTTTCTTGTACACGGGATGAGGATTAAAAAGCAGCCTTTTCGATGACAGACCTCAACATATAGCAAGCATATTCTCCACTCGGAGATATAAACAGTATCTATCCTACTAAAATTTCCAAAACTAGCCAAAGAAGTGCTATTTCAGTGGGCTGGCCTGTAGAATAGTTTAATATATCAGGTGTTCTGACTCAGGACTTCACTGATACATTAATTATTTGTATTTATTCTGTTACTGCTTGTTTCTTACTTTTTATCTTTTTGTTATTCATTTAAGAGTCCATATGGAATGGGCTGGACTATAAATATTGTTAAATAAATAAATACTGAATTTCTTTTGTGAACTGCTGTGTAGTGAAGCAAGCACACATCTTATATCATGAGAGATACAAAACTTGTATCACCTAAGTCAGGCTACATCAGTAAAAGTAAGGCAACCATTTGGCTGTTCGTATCAGGTGATGTGATGAGTTCTGAGCTCAAAAATAACTTAAATGTGCAGGGAAAAGGACAGAAAATGATGTATACAGTCTAGAGCAGTGATTCTCAACCTGTGGGTTGGGACCCCATTTGGGGTCGATCGACCATTTCATGGGGGTCGCCAAGCAAGGCTGTCCACCATTTTTTTTGTCCGTCATTTCTTTTGTCCGCCATTTTTTCCCCTTTTCCGGCGGGTGCCTTACCTCCCTTGGGCTGGGCTAGCTGGTGGTCTGCCTGCTCCGTCTCTGCCGCTTGCCAGATACGCCTCGGCCGGCGCAGGGGGCGGAACCACGCATGCGCGGCGCTCCCGGGCAGGGAAAGTCCTCGACTTACGACTGGTTGGGTAGTCCTCGACTTACGACCGGTTTAGTCCTCGACTTACGACCAGTTTAGTCCTCGACTTATGACCGGTTGGGGTCGCGGCATTAAAAAGGTTGAGAACCACTGGTCTAGAGTCAAGAAAGCAGTAACAGTTTCCCATGTAACAGATACTGTCCCTCATCGCCAGCATGTATGATGGGATGGGAGCTTGATTAGAATAAGTATAAGGAATCTATCAGATCAAATATATGTATACATCTTCCACACTTGAGGCTTTATTATTAGCACTTTGTAGAGAAGTGTGCAAGGACGTTTTCAAAGTGGACAGAAATCAGTCATTTTTAAGAAAATTACATTGATCAGTGCTTTTTAAATTCTTTAATATGCCATTATGATTATCTGAATTACTGCTTTGGCAACTTTACTAGTTCCTGGCTTCTTTCTAATTTAATTCTCATGTTTACAGATAGTCCTCGACTTACGATAACTGAGCCCAAAATTTCTGTTGCCAAGTGAGATAGTTGTTAAGTGAGTTTTGTCCCATTTTACGACCTCTTGCCATGGTTGTTAAGTGAATCAGTGCTGATGTTAAGTTAGCAATATGGTTGTCAAATGAATCTGGCTTCCCCAATGACTTTGTTTATCAAAAGGTTGCAAAAGATGACCACATGACCCCAGGACATTGCCACTGTCCTAAATACATGCCAGTTGCCAAGCAACCAAATTCTGATCATGTGAATGCTGCATAAGTGTGAAAACTGGTCATAAGTCTTTTTCAATGCCACTGTAACTTCGAACAGTCACTAAAAACAAACTGTTCTACCTGTAGTTTTTAACCTTCAAAGATCTTCACAATTTAGAATAAGTACTAATAAATCCCTTAATTCTGTAAAGTGGAATATGGTTGTGGCCTAGGAGTTGTTGTTTCAGGATGGCCTAGCTGGCATCTAAATCGTTACCGAAGCAATTTCATTTTAATTTAAAAAAGTATTTAATGTCATGTCTTTTGGGATGTAACAATTCACAGCTTGAATAATGATTTAGATGCACAACATCATGGCCAAATCTAATGTAGAAAAGGAGAATGACCAGAGGCATCAGAACTGTCTATTTCTATATTATCAATATTGGATTGGCTGGGGGGGGGAAAGGGAATCTGCCACAAAATCCTCACTTTCTGAGCCAATTCAACATAGGTCAGGAAGAAAGTCACACAACTGTACCATGTCTAAATTAGCATCCAAATCTGCCTAGCTCAGATGATGGGCCCTATATGATTCTTACATTGAAAAGAAAATAAGAGGCTTTGTGTAAGACAATGGAGAAATATAATAAATATTTAAGCATTGCCAATGCAATATATACTCACATTATGGTATTATTGTTTTTAATAACATAGAGCTGTTTCTATGTACAGTAGTGGCCAAAATTGTGGAAACCTTTTGGGAAAAATGTACAGTGGAAATGCCACTTTTGGTTAAGTTTCCACCAATTTTTCTTCTAATTTCTTTATAACTGTAGCCTTGTTCACTTAATAATACTATTTTACATCACTTTCTGGGCGACCAGTCAACTCTTTGCACCATTACTTTAATTTTATTACGTTTTACAAGCTAACTAAATAAAAGAACACAAAAAAACCCAACCAACTTGATAGAGATCACATAACTCACTGACAAATCTCCTCCTCTCAGCTTCAATACATGACATCAATAACTGAATCCTGTGACCTGATTGGCTCATTGCCAAAACAAGATGACACCTGAATGGCTCTCTAAACACTCATGCTCATTGGCTACAATCAGATGAAGGAAAGCTACCTGATATCAACCTAAGCAAGTTGTGCTTCCTTTTTCTGGTTATTTGGCTATAACTTTTCATAGAATACAGTACAGATTATTGAACAAACTTTGTTGCATTACATTCTTGATTAAATTATCTTTCCATTGATATATACCAGTGGTGGCGAACCTATGGCACGTGTGCCAGAGGCAGCACTCAGAGCCCTTTCTGTGGGCACGCACGCCATCACCCCAGCCCCGCCTCCCCCGCAGCCCCCCCGAGAGTCAACCCCCGGTGCAGCCCAAGCAGAGCAGCGCAGCCAAGCACATGGCAGCCGGGCAACAGGCACAAGACTCCACCCTCGTGCCCCATTGCGCACAGATGATGCTATTGGGCATGGTTGGAGGGTGTAGCCACCATGGCGCTGCAGGGCCGCCTGGGCGACCTGCTGCGGCAGGCCTTGGAGATGGTGGGTGGCCCTGCGGGTGGGCAGAGCGGCGGCAGAAGGGGCGGAGCAGGCGGGTGGGTGGAGCAGGGGCGGGGCGGTTTTGAGGCACTCAGTCTCTAAAAGGTTCACCATCACTGATATATACTTTTATGGTACTACTCCCCCCAAAAAAGTGGTGTTATTAGTCATCAAACCTCAAATATACACTTTTCCCAAAAAGGTTTCCACAATTTTGGCCACTACTGTAAAGTGTTTATTTCCAACAGAGTGTTGGCTAACAATCACCATTTTCAAATAAAAATATCTGCTTTCTTAAAAATTTGAAAATATTTACCTTTGAAGTCACTTTAAGAACTATTTTCACTATTGACTATTAAGCATACATCAATTTGTATAAACAGACAAGATGCACACAGGAGATGCACAACGAGGATAATGTCAAACGGGTACATATTTCAAACGCACAACGCTATCAACTCAACAATAATTCCTTTGGAAGAGGACGGGGGCGGGGACCAATATCAACCAAACGGTTGGATTCAATGTTTGGCTATAAAATGCCGTATATTACATCACCGTCTGGGGAAGAGGCAAGCCTTCCTACCTTAGTCCATGCACAACGCCAAGCCAGAAACTACCGTTTTCAAACAATAACAACCGGGCTCAGCCTCCCCAAAGCATGCAAACCTCACCCTAACTTCGCAGGAAGGCTGCACCCACTCAGGGGCAGGTCAGAGGTCCCACCTTGGGCACAGCGGCTTCTACTCCGGCTCGCTCGCGAGGTGGGATCCCTGCGCCCGGAAGGCTGTTACGGTGCTGCAGGCAGAGCCACACCCGGTCGCCGGTGCCCCACCACCACCACCACGCCGCCCCTCCCCCGAAAAGCGAGAGGGCAGCCCGCCCTCCGGAGCGCAGGCCTCCTCCCCGAACTGGCAGGGGCGCCTCCACTCACCAGGGTCGCTCTCCAGCTCCAGCCAGCCCTTATTCATCTTCCCTTTAGTCAGGCCTCAGCGCCATGACAGGGCCCGGGCGGAAACCATACCTCCCGGGTTTCCCCGGGCACATCCGGTCCGCGCTACAGCCCCGCTCCGGCCAGCCGGGAAGAAGGAGTGACCCGAAACATGCAGGACAGAGGCGGCGGGAGGGGGGGGGTAACCAGAAGGAGGAGGAGCAGGAAGACGGAGGCATCAGGCTGCGCGCGCAACAAGGCGAGACAAAAGGGGCGGCGCTTCCCAGCAGAAGGCTTTCGGAGAAAACTTTGGCTGGTGCTGCCTCCGGATTGGTGCGGAAAGGGAGGGGGGCGTGATCAGCCGGTTGTGAATGCTAGAGATAGCGTGCGACTGCAGGGACGAACGCTTGTAACTTAATTATAGGCTTTTATTGGAGTGACGTTGGTTAGTTAACAGCCTGAACTGTACATTTTTTTCTACGGCAAATGCTGGTCTGTTCTTAAACGGTGTTTTAAAGACGTTAAGCATCACCGCAGATTTTGTGGTGTGAGAGCGACCGAGCGGGTTTCTGTTGTTAAAATAAGACTTACTCGTATCACGGTACCTGGTGTAGCTTACAGAGAAGACCTATGATTTCATACTACAATTACTTGTTTACTCCAGTGACATTTAATTTCATAGCACAAACTTCAGTTAATTGACAGTTGGGACTCCATATTAATAACATTTTAGATTGCAGTTTGAAATTTCGTTTTTTTAATGGCAATGAAACTCGCAGAGACTTTTGATTTCATGCCACAAACCAAGTTGAGCCTTGCTCAAAACTTTGGCTTAATGTAAACACATGCTGTTTCAAGTGATACAGACTAGTTATAGCAAAACCGTTAAAATTATATATATATATAATTATCTAATAAAAGCATTATTTGTGCATCTCTTTCCCTTTTTCCATATTTCCATACACACACAAAAAATTACAATTGGCAAACCACTGATAGGTAGCAAATGTACTCAGGTCTTCAGTCTAAAATTTAATACTTGACAATAGGTATGCTTGATGATAATATTTATTTCCTGCATTTATTATTTTTACAGATAACTCATAATATGCATAATATTCTTTGAGAAATGTTTTATATTTATGAATGAATTGCAATATTCAAGGGACGCAACAAAATACAGAAAAATATTTTTGCCAAATTAAAGAAACTATTATAGAATCAGATATTAATCGATAAAGGTTATCAAGCACACATTCTGAACAACTCTATTGGCCCAGATAATGGATATTGATCTTCAGACTATTGTTTTTGCCAGTAAAACACATTGGTAGTTGCCCTAAGTTGGAAGATGGGCTGCTATACAAATGTTTTAAATAAATATTTCCCAACTATGATGCTCAAATTGAGTGTCTGAAAGATTACTATCAGTCAGTTGATACAGAATATTGCTTTCATATTGCTGCACAACAGAGTGGATGTTGCTATGTTCAGGCATTGGAAAGCTGGTCAAGAAATGTGATAAATTTTGTATTAAAGGAAATTTTCTCCATAGAACATACTATAGAATATTTGGAGATGAAATCCCTAGAAAACTTATTTTCTTCCATATTGCTTGTCTTGGGTGAGACTCCAAATTGAACAAGATCCAATCTAATGTCAACAGTACATTGGAGAAGGGGCTGCAATTAATAGGTGATGATTTAATTGATTTAGCAATCTGAAGAAAACCATGGATAATTACTAAGTCATGGAAACATAAAGTGGTTTTGGGTCAATTACTCTCAGCTTAACCTATCCCCGTGGTGGCGAACCTATGGCACGGGTGCCAGAGGTGGCACGCGGAGCCCTCTCTGTGGGCACGTGCGCCGTCGCCCCAGTCCTCGGCCTTCAGCTGGGTTTTATAAAACTTTTGCACATTAGGCCTCCGCCGCCATGTGCAAAAAAAAAAAAAAAGGTTCAATCAATAAATTTCAACTACTCACGGAAAAAAAAGATCTCGCAAAGTTGGAATTGATTGATTGAACTTCTTAGTCCCACCCAGTCTGCCGTTACCACTGCAGCCACGCCCACCCAATGGGCCATGCCCACAATTGGCCACACCCAGCCAATGGGCCACACCCACCCGGCACCCGACGATGCATAAGTGGGTTTTGGGTTGCAGTTTGGGCACTCGGTCTCTAAAAGGTTCGCCATCCCTGACCTATCCCATAGAAGGATAGTAACTATATTAGGCTGCACTCCTCAAAGAAAGGCAGGAAACAAATATAAATTAATAAATAACTTATTCCATTTCACATTGAAAATTTAGGGCAAGTTCTTTCACTGATGCAAAAATAGTAGACAGAGGAAAAGAATAATTTGATCACTGAGTTGCTAAAAGGATCTCCACGGTTCAGTTTTTACAAAAACATTTTTCATTCTAGAAGACCAAGCAACCCTATATAATGAATATATTTATTCATTATATTTATATGGCCATCTATCTCGCAGTCAAATGACTGGATGGCATATAACAAAATTAAAAACAGACAAATTAATATTAACTTCACAACTGCAAAAACTCAAAACTAAGAATTAAAAAGATTATGTGAAGAGCAGGTGTTAATTACCACCTGAATATTTCACCAGTTTTCTGAGATCCCCAGGGCCGATGACACAACCAAATCTTGAGTGACTTGACTGGCTGGAGAGTTGAGTATTGATGGGTCACTGCTGGAACGGTTATACTCTACAGTGGGTGATATTAAGACAATGGGCTGGGTGGAATGGCTCCCCAGCTACTATATGAAATGTGTTAGAACTGTAGCCATTTCATAGAATTTGTGCATATACACACACAAACGTTCCCCATTCTATATCAACTACTGGATAAGGAACCATAGCTATTCAGGAGGCTGGCATTTTCTATCCTAACCATCAAGTCTGAAAGAAAGAAATTTGACTTTGATGCATGCAGCATGTCCATCCTATAGTAGACTGAATTATTTGGGGATGATCAAGACCTCATTGTCATACTAAGATTGGGGAAGAATTGTGGTGGGGGATGTAATTAAGGTGACCAACCGTCCTCCTTTAGGGAACACAGTCCTCCTTTTGTGAGTTCTGTCCTCCCTCAAAAAGTGTCCTCCTACATGTCCTCCTTTTCGATATTTGAAGACTAATCTGCAGGGCTTTTTTTTCCCTCATAGAACGCTCAGAACGGCGTTCCGGCACCTTTTTTTGATGATTTTTTTTTTCAACTTTTGCATGAGCTGTGCTACTCCCACTATTGGCTTTCGAAAGCCAATAGGAATTGCTGCTGAGCGCGCCAAAACATCCAGCCGGCAAACTTTGCACGTGCAAGTTGTCTGTATTATTGTTAACAATGAATAAAATGTTTCTTTTATTTACGATATTTTTTTCTTCAATTTATTTGTGTCCTCCTGTAAAAAAGTTGGTCACCTTATGTATGTAGAACTGGCATGAAAACAAGAGAAGCAAGAAAATAAAGGTCAGAAATACTGTGGGAAGGATATTGGTCTTTTCACTCATGGCTGACTTTTTTGGTGTCTAAACATCCATAAATACATATATACATAAGCCAGCTGGACACAATATGTGTATGCAGGATCTACTAGTTTTCTCTTTAGGATCCTTAGAAACCATAGCATCACATCACATAGGATTTAAGAAATGAACAGAATACCTTGGTTTTAAGGCAATATTACATTGTTTCAAATATAGGATTCTCCTAATGTCATACATTTTCTCAAGTGTTGAATTTTAAGTGTACAATTCACTGATCATTTTTAATTCTAAGTTACAATTCACAGCTGCCTAAGTACTGGGGAAAGGAGTGATAAAGCTGGGAAGAATCACTTCCACAAGTACTCCTCTATCTTGCCCTTTCTAAATGGAGATAGTCAATACATTATTTCCACCTATTCTGCCACCCTACTCATACAAAAACGTGTGCAGCATGCAGGTGCGTGCGCACAGCTTCGTTTGTGCAAACGACGTGCATGCTCATGCGGAATCATCACCTCCCCTCCCCTTCCTGGTCCACAAAGCTGGAAAGGTTGGGGACTGATTCTAGTTAACTTTAGAGGGACCAAGATGGATGAATTTAACTCTTTGGGTCTTACTTTTCTCTCTCAGTTGTCTTTGATACTATGAATCATACTAAATTTCTGGATTTTCTCTGAGGGATTGAGAATTGAGGGACAGCAGTTTTCAATGATTCTCCTCCTCCTCCTTCCAGGGCTGGTTGTAGTTGCTAGTAGTGGGGGAAGAAAGGTTGATTTTTTTTCTGCTAGTATTTACTTTCTGCCTGAAGTCCCTGAACAAAATTATTCAGAGACACAGTGTCAGGTATCATCAGTAAGCTAATGAAACTCAGCTGTACAGCCTTACCATGGGCGGAATAGGATATGTGGTCAAAGTGCTGTCTGAGTGTCAAGAGGCTTTTAGTGTTTGGATGGGGAAGAACAGGCTCACGCTTAATTCCAACATCACTGAGTAGCCTTAGGTTTTGCCAGGTATATTTCACTGTTGGTTCTGAACAGGACCATATCCATTTGTTTGGATTAACTTACAATTTAATTGGTTCCTTTGAATTCACAACTCTGCTCAAAGATCAGGTAGCAATTGTAGCTAAGAGGACCTTTCCACAACTTCATATTGCATACCACTTATAACTATTCCTGGATCAGAAAGCCCTATTCAATAATAATAATAATAATAATAATAATAATAATAATAATAATAATAATAATGATGATGATGATGATGATGATGATGATGATGATGATGATGATAGTAATAATAATAATAGTAAAGTTGGAAGGGACCTTGGAGGTCATCTAGTCCAACCTCCTGCTCAAGCAGGAAACTCTATACCATTTCAGACAAATGGCTGTCCAGTCTCTTCTTAAAAACTTCCTGTGTTGGAACATTCACAGTTTCTGGAGGCAGGTTGTTCCACTGATTAATTGTTTTAACTGTCAGAAAACTTCTCCTTAGTTCTAGGTTGCTTCTCTCTTTAATTAGTTTCCACCC